CCATAAATCTAGAAGTTGACAAATTAAATAAATTAGAGAAGCACTGGCTACACAATATACTAATTGATAGTTTTTATTATTTTTGCATAAAAAAAAATAATAAATTGAAGGGATTAATTGAAAAATATATGCAGGGAGGGAGAAAAATTAAACCGAGGGTCGACATGCTCGCCCGAAGACCTTAGTCGTGCAGGGAGGGAGGAAAATCGAACCGAGGGTCGACCAACCAGCCCAAATGCCTTAATCATGCAGGGAGGGAGAAAAATCGAACCGAGGGTCAACCTGCCAGCCCGAATGCCTTAGTCGTGCAGGGAAGAAGGAAAAACGGACCGAGGGTCAACCTGCCAGCCTGAAGGCCTTAGTCGTGCAGGGATCGATTGATACCTTGTATTATCTAGACACAAGTTTCACAACACATATTCACAGCACGAGATAATAACACTCATTTCCATTACCGCTAGTTTATATATACAGATTACATAAGCAAGGACAATGGAAAAAAAAAATTAGCCTTATAACATATCAGACCATTATTCACCAGTATCTATCCGTAGAATAAGCGACTTTTCTGTTACCAGCATTCAATCTCCACTCCTTCAACCCTTGTGGTGCTCCAGTCTTCTAATAGATAACACCCCTCTTGCGTGGTTCCTCATCCTCGACCTCTTGCTCGCACTCCTTTTGTTTTTTTTCCTGCACCTTCATCTTGTCGAACCTTCATTCTCGCATTGTTTGTAGACAAATTCCATCAAGTGGCCTGCTCGGATCAACCTTTCAATCTCACCGAAGTAAGTCCTTCCAGATCAGCCCTTGAGATTGACGATCTCACCCAAGTCGTCCCATCCTTAGGAGAATAGTTTGCATGGATACACGTAGCGCCACTCTACGCCTCTAGCTGGCACCGAGTCTTTATTGTTTTTTTTTTCTAACTTTTTTTGTGTATAAATACCAACCCCTTTGGATCCTAGCAAGATCATGATCAATAGATGAAAAAATAGCTAATCACACAAAAGAATACACAAGAAATCGTCCGATATATGATTGTAACACATCACTACAGTCTTTCAATAAAATTCCGAAGAATAATTCTCCTCATTTCCGCAGCAGATTGGCTATGTCGGTGTCATGTTTCTTTCTTTTTTTTTTCATACTTGTTTTTTTAAGTTTGTTCATATTCTCCCCTAATTTATTGTGAAATACACCACAAATATGTTATAACCTACTATTAAACTGGTTAACTTATATTAACAATAACAATCGACGGTCGACCATCAACAAAACAAATTTGAAAAGACCATGAATAAATGACCAATATATGTTGATAGGGATGTAAATGGGTCGGGTCGGGAGCGGATTTTGTAAAACCCGAACCTTACCCGTCTATAATTTACCCTACCCGGATCCTGCCTGTTACCCGTTAGTGAACTTCGGGTTCGGGATGGGTTTTACCCAACGGGTTATCGGGTCTTCGTTGGGTAATAACTCAAATTCTTAAATTTGAGTTTTTCTTGGTCTTACCCTGACCCGACCAGTTTCATGGGTAAAATAATTAAATAAAATCATTCTACAATTAAATATAATATAACTAACAATTTATTAACTAAGTTTAGCAATAAAATGACTATAAGAAAATCTATATTATTTTTGGAATAAATATTGAAATATAATTATTTATTTTTTATTGTCTAGTTAATAATATAACATTTAAAAATTAAGCATTTAAATTTTATATTGTACAACTAAAAGGAAAATTTACACAAAAATCAAAAAAATAAAATAAAATTTAAACCATTTTATAAGAAATAATTTAATTTTATATTTATAATATATATATATATATATGTATATAATGAGGACACATTCTTAAAATGAGGATATGAGACTCAATCCTAGCCATTAAGAGGGTATCAAGATGTGTGGTCAAGATTTAACTCTTTATTTAAATAATAATTTTTTATTTTAGTTATTTAAATTATTTAAATATTATTTGACCATTGACCATTGACTCTGGCGTTAACTGTTGACTTCCAACGTTGACTTTCGACGAAAATCGTTGACTTCCGGCGTTGACCCGTTGACCATAATATGTATTGTGTATGAAGTAAATATGGTGAGGCAAAGTTAGTGTAAATATGTTGCAAAATTATTGAAACAAAACAGATGCATAATTAGTGATAAAGTGTTGAACAGTTAGTGTCAAAATGTTGCATGGTTATTGAAACAATGATGCAAAAAGATGTTGCATAGTTAGTGATAAAAAGTGTTGCAATGTTAGTGTAAAAATGATGCATAGTTAGTGATAAAATGTTGCATAGTTAGTGTAAAAATGTTGCATGGTTATTGAAAAAATGATGTAAAAAATATGTTGCATAGTTAGCCATAAAGTGTAACAAAGTTAGTGTAAAACTGATGCATAGTTAATGATAAAGTGTTGCACAGTTAGTGTAACGATGTTGCATAGTTAGAGAAAAAGTGATGCAAAGTTAATGTTAATATGTTGCAAAGTTATTGAAACAAAACAGATGCATAATTAGTGATAAAGTATTGCACAGTTAGTGTCAAAATGTTTTATTGTTAGTGTAAAAATGATGCAAAAAGATGTTGCATAGTTTGATAAAAAGTGTTGCAATGTTAGTGTAAAAATGATGCATAGTTAGTGATAAAGTGTTGCATAGTTAGTGTAAAAATGTTGCATGCTTATTGAAACAATGATGCAAAAAATATGTTGCATAGTTAGCGATAAAGTATTGCAAAGTTAGTGTAAAAATAATGCATAGTTAGTGATAAAATGTTGCACAGTTAGTGTAATGATGTTGCATAGTTAGAGAAAAAGTGTGCAAAGTTAGTGTAAATATGTTGCAAAGTTATTGAAACAAAACAGATGCATAATTAGTGATAAAGTGTTGCACAGTTAGTGTCAAAATATTGCATTGTTATTGAAACAATGATGAAAAAAGATGTTGTATAGTTAGTGATAAAAAGTGTTGCAATGTTATAGTTAGTGTAAAAATGTTGCATGGTTATTGAAATAATGATGTAAAAAATATGTTGCATAGTTAGCGATAAAATGTTGCAAAGTTAGTGTAAAAATGATGCATAGTTAGTGATAAAGTGTTGCACAGTTAGTGTAACGATGTTGTATGGTTATTGAAACAATAATGCAAAAATGATGTTGCATAGTTAGTAAAGCAAACTTTTGTAGGAGCTTTTGGAATGTATTTGTTTGATTTTCCAGTTGACTGAAATAAATGTTTTCACACTGTTGCTTTCTTTATGATTGCTTGTATGCTAAATGTCCAATTATCTTATATTGTAGACAATGTGGTGTGTTAGTAGTCACACAGAAGATTACATTGTCGGTTCCTTATAAGATATAAATGGTATTCACAACTGAGATAGTTATGGACATGACTATCGGTGTAGGTTGTAGTATAAACTGGATGTAGCTTGTCCTGACTATTGGTTTATACTAGTGCGGTGCGTCGCATTGATGGATCGCAGTTAAGACGTGTTCTTCTGTTCTAACTGTCATGAAGAACCAAAGTCTCGGTGACTCTACTAATTCTTAACCCTAACTGTAATACTTAGATATGTGGGATATTTGTTTGTTACTTTAATTTACCATGGGTAAGAACCAAGTATTGGTTCAATATGCTCCGTATCTTGGGTACCAACATTGTCGTCTGCATGATATCTATTTATTGGCATTAGGGAACCATGTCCTGGACATCTAGGTTGATGACATCCCCTTAAAGAACTCATAAGGATTATTGTATCAAACCATGCAGGTGGATTTAATTCCGTACGATAATAAGGTTGAGTGGTACTACTTAAGGAATAAAAGATATTAATTAATTAAAGCAGTCAGAAGCTTTAATAATTAATGGACATGCGATATCTTAAACACGGAAAATTATATCGAGTCTAATAGAAGCCCTGATTCATTTCGGGATAGGACGAGAGTGCAATATTAATTCTCTAGTGGAATGAATTAATATTTACGGGACAAATTGTGTTCTGGGCTGAACATAGGAATTTGGGCCCGTAGGAAACCCAAACCCTATATCTTCTAAGAGATACCTAGTCTGGCCCAAGGACCTCTATAAAAGGAGGGATTGCACACGTTCTTGAACCCTAAGAGATTACATCACGTCTTCAGCCACCACATCAACGTAAGGGGTTCATAGAAGAATGAAACCAATCCGCTCTTTTCAACCGTTTGGTAGATCATCGTCCATTCGGCGTCCAAGCGTGGTCGGGACACAGACTAGAAGTTCGCCTTGAACGAACCAAAGCCTCCATTCAAGGTAATTCTTTGTTCATCCTTTAGGAACATGCCTAGGGTAATTCGAAATCATGTATGTACGTGTTTGGTACCCGATATCGATCCGTGGGAAGGACCGCCTCATCGGCGTGTTCCAGCAGTTAGTGATAAAGTGTCGCACAGTTAGTGTAAAAATGTTACATGGTTATTAAAACAATGATGCAAAAACATTGTACACGAGAGACATATTTATTTTAACAAACCAGATACATATTTATTTCAACACAGGTGCATAAGTATTCCAATTACTTATCAATTGTTAAGAGGTGTCCTCATTATATATATATATATATATATATATATATATATATATATACAGGGTCGCACTCACATGAGAATGGTGCTTAGTGAAAGAAATGAGAATAAACTATAGTCATTAGATCGGATGATCTAATGGCTAAATAAAAAGTCAAAATTATATCTTCATTAAGGGCATTGTGGTATTTTTCAACACCACATTCAAATAAGTGGGCCCCGCTACAATTAATACACCTGCCCTAACTACCCATAAGTCAACAGCCCACCCCACAACCCAGAGGGCCCCACACCCACCAAGCCTTCCCAATTCCCATCAAGCCATCACGTCTCTCTATTCTCCCTCTCACAAACATACACACACATCTTGTCGTCTCTCTAGCCACCTCCCCCACAGTCGCACCGCCCGCCGGAGGCAGCGTCATTGAGCTCGCACAAAACGACCGTCGTGTCCCTCCACCACCGCCGCTACGCCTCTACACACGCCCAGCCAGCCGTCGTCCGCTCCCACCAGCCCTTCCACCGCCGACGATATGGCCGCGCCGCTGCGCCTCGCACATGCCCCTCTTCCTGCCGCCGTTGACTTCCACCAGCCCTTCCGACGCTGCGCCTCCACACAATTCCCTCTACCCGCCGCCGTCCAATTTCGAAAAAACTCACCTTCCACCCATTCAACAGCCCCGCCGCCGCCGCTTGGAATAAGACGTGGCGTCCAGGGCTAAGACGGCGCTAGGGATATGGTGGCGCCGCCGCCGTCTGAGGAGGTGGCCGGATGTGCGGGGCTGGATATGGGGAGGGGTTTGTAGGGGTTTTTTTTTATGGAAATTTGATATTATTAGGGGATCTAGTTGCAATTTGAGTAAATTTTGATTATATATCATTTAAATAAACAAAATATTAAATAAAATCAGATAAAATATTAAAATAATATCGAATATATTGCACATTATTGACTGATCGGTTGCACTTTTGTGTTAGTCAGATTGCACCTTAGCATAACAAGTGATGTTAATTGTATTAATAATATAAAATATTAAATAACATAAATTATAAATACTAAATATATTTTTATTACATAAATAATTTGATAGAATTAAAATACACATTATTAAAAAAAAATCGAAATGCAAGTTAGCGTTCAGTTTCAATTTGGTTGGGACTAAAGTTCAGTCATTTCACACTGCACAATAGCGGCAAAAAAAACGTATACATTAATACTGTAATGTTGCACTTTTTCGTATGTGATATTGCAGTTTTGCGTATGTACCGATCGAAATAAATCAAAATATATTTCTTTATACGGTTTATATATGTTGGTACGGTGTTCGTTCTTTACTTTTACAAAAATTGGTTATTTCAAATTGATTCTGGCTCATTTTTAATAATCAACCGAACCGAACTATATATATATATATGATTAACAATATAATAAACCGATCATGTCGGTTCAATTTTAGTTTGTTCGGTGCGAATCGTAAAAAATAAGTGCATTGGTAATGCACGATAGTGTTAAAAGAGTTGCACGTTAATGAATATCAAATTGCACAACAGCGACCGAAACCGGAAGAATTAAATTTCTTAATTGAAATTCTATATTTCAGTTCAGTTAATTGTATTTATTTTTAAAATCACAGTTAGTATATTTCGTGTTGGTTTTATTTTTTATAATAACTTAAATAACCGAAACAATCGGCCTATATGAAAAAATATTATTATTATTTTTAAATATTTATATGTATGACGATTGCATTTTATGATTATACAAATTGCAATTAATGACTATTAGATTGCACTTTAGTGACTATTAAATTGCACAAAATCGAATGACCTCGACCAAACTAAAATTTTTAGTTCGAGAATTTTAATTTCAATTCAATTGTCAATTTTTTACATTTAAAAACTCGGTTATGCCAATTTCATATTGATTTTTTTTTACTTAAAAAATGAACTATATGAAAAATATTATTCATTTTATTAATATAGTTTTTATGTAAAATATTATCAAATTTCAACCGTAAAAAATATAAAAAATATTAAATATTAAATAGAAATATTAAAATATTAATAATTGTTTGATTAATTAAAATTTCACCCATGAACTAAAGTGCAATATATAAAAAATGCTAAAATTGCATCTAGACCCCTAAATCTTATCAAATTCACAAAAATAGGCCCTTGTACATAAATTGAACAATCTCATGAATATTAAGCCCATTCATCTCCATCCATTCGAGCACCTCATCCTGCGGCCGCTGGTGAAGCTTTGCCGGTCGCCGTCCGTTCTCCACCGTCGCTGCCGAAAAGGGAGATGCTACCGATGACGACGTCGGCCACCGATGAACGCCAGTTGCAGCGGAGTGCGGCCACTGTCGTCATGGTCGCCGACGAGCTCTCCATCGGACGTGGTTGTTGAGATCAAAGTGGCCGATGATGGTGGCGCTGTGAAGATCTGGCAAGGGCGAGGCGGGATCCGGCAATGGCGGGGCGGCGCTGGGTGTGGTCGGAGGCGACGGGCGGTGGCTGTGTGCTGTGGTGCCACCATCTCAGTGTGTGTGTGTGTGTGTGTGTGTGTGTGTGTGTGAACTGCGTGCGTGTGTGCGTGAAAAAGAAACAAACTGTATGTGTGTATTTGTGTATGTGTGAGAGAGGGGAGGGGAAGGGTAAATTAGTGGTGGGGCCCATTTAATTATGATGAAACCAAAATTACACAAGTGCCCTTTGAGGTGTATACTTGACCATGAAATACACATATATTTACAACTATGTCATCGTGTTTTGACCAAGTTTATTAATGTTTGACTTCATCATGTCCATTGATGCAATTGATCTAATGGTACATATTCATTCTTATTTTTTTCACCCTTCTCCAGAAATTCTATGGTGCCCATATGGGTACCATAAGCCATGCCACAATGTGATATGGCATATGAGGTGGCTTTTTTGTTTTTAATTAACAATTCCACCATGGATGTATGATTTGGTTTTTTTAAATATTTAATCAATTAAGACAATTAGGAAACTTAATTCATTCATATTTCCCAAATCGCAACCTCACTTAATTCATTCATATTTCCCAACAGCAACAGCGGATTCGCCACCACTATGGGCTTTTTCGGCTAACTGGTGGCCATGACGGTCTGAGATGGGCGGAGGGATATATATATGTATATATATATATATATATATATATAGGTTGGTTTAAATAAAAACAAGTCCAGGTGTGAGAACCGTGAGAATCATATTTGATGCTATTTTTACTTGTGGATGATGATATTTTTATTATCACGTGGTGCTATTATTTTCACATATGCTAATATAAATTGTGTTGCTAGTTTTAATAAAATATATCCTGATTAAAAATAACACTAAAACATAATCAATCATAGCACTTCATACAATTAAAAATAGTGGTTCTCACGCTAGGACTTGGTTCTAATTTGAACCACATGATATATATATATATATGTGTGTGTGTGTGTGTGTGTGTGTGTGTGTGTATAAGATTTTATGCTTGCGTGTAATCGGGTCGAGTAACAGATTTTTCTGTCATACCTGAACTCGACCCTGTGTTCGGGTAGCATAATTCTACCCAAACCTGACCCGAAACTCGATCATCCCGGTTTTACTCAACCCGAAAATGCGAGTAACCCGCGGATAACCCGACCTTGCGGGTTTTATTGACATGCCTTTATGTTGAACTTAAAAGAAGCTTGAAAAAGAAGCCTTTGGTCCTCCATTCTGACGCTGTTCAATTCCGAAAATGGCCTCTGCCGACACTTCTCGCAAACTAAGAGCAAACCAAAAACACATGAAAAAAAGAAAAAATCCAACATACTTCCAAGATTCACGTGAGATTACACGGATCACAAGCCTAAAAGGAAAGAATGTAGACAAAGTAACAAGTATCAATACCCATCACCAAAATAAAAATGACGATATAAATAGTGGTCTATTAATATAACAAAGACTAAAGATAAAGTCAAAAGTGATGAACCTCTAAAACCTCCATATATTATGCAGTAGTGTTGCATGTTCGATTGATGTACCCCATCAACTTCAATACAACTACCATTCCAATAACATGCAAATCTCAGCACATCCAATTCACATAACACTTGATTTTCTCCCAAAATAAAATCACACCACCTTCTCCAATGCTGAATCACCGTCCCCAGCGAGCAAGAAAAAAAAAATGAATCACACACCCTTATAAGTTTGAAAGATAACAGAAATTGACACATAATTTTTATTCTGACTATCCCTAAAAAGTAGAAGAAGCATTTTTTGTACACGTAATATAATATATAGCCACGTCATCCAAAAAAGTTCACGCATTCCAATGCTACCCCTCCCAAATCCACCATGTTCCCTTTCACTTCTTCACTCCCCCCACCTCACTCGCTGTCTCCAGCTCATTCCCACCGCGTACACACACCTCCCAATTATTTGGGCCGCGATCCTCTGCGCCGCGGCCTCAGCTGTCCGCAAAAAGTGGCTCGTGCCTGTACAAGTCGTAGGGGGCCCAGAGGTGATCCAAGGTACAAGGCCTCTTAGCGTCGAGCCTCAGCCAGGGCTTCCCCTTCCCGCTCCAGTGCAGCAGGCTCACTGGACCAGGGTGCAAATCCCTACACTGCCCCTCCACGTTATCCCCTCCCAGCCCGTGTTGGTTCCACCGATGCTCCACCGCCTCCACGTCTCCGGCGAACACCAGCAGGAACGGCGGCAGCGACCCCAGATTGTAGATACGGTGCCGTTTCTGCACCCGCATCCAGTACTCCAGCTTCTGGGTCAGCCCCTTTGCGCGCCATTTCTCCAGATCTAACACCATCACGCCGGTGTTGAAGTAGCAGGGCCGCCGGTCCCTGAATGCGCCGGCGAACACGGGATTTGACCAGAATCTGGCCGTAAAGTAGAGGGTGAAGTTGGCGTGGCAGTACTCAGGGGCACCGAGGACGGCGAACCGGAGGTTGGTCCGCCAGAGGGCGGCGATGTCGTCCACCACGACAAGGTCGGAGTCGAGGTAGACGACGCGGCGGACGGAGGCTGGGAGGAGGTCGGCGAGGTAGATGCGGGCGTAGTTGAGGGGCTGGTCGAGAGCGCGGCGGACGGAAGAGGAGATGAGGGGGCGGACGGTGGCAGGCTCGAATGGGTAGAGGCGGAGGCGGAGGTAGGGGAAGGCGGCGGCGAGGGTGGCGCGGAGGGCGGGGTGCTGGGCGGGGGAGGCGAGGAAGTGGAAGGCGGCGTTCTCCGGGCAGGCGGAGTGGCGGAGAACGGAGAGGACGGCCGCGACGGAGCCGCGGAGGTAGGGAGTTGAGTAGTCGAGGGCCATCGCGATGTGGACGGAGGCGGAGGGGTCGGCCGGCGCCGGGCAGGAGTCGGCGTTGCGGAAGGCCGGCGCCTCGCGGAAGGACGGCGGCCGGGGTTGTACCGCGGCGGAAGGCGGCGGTGTTGGGAGGAGTAGAAGGAGGAGGGTGGTGGTGGTGGTTAGGAGGCGGAGATCGAGTGGCATGGTGAAGATTAAGGGACAGCTTTTTTGTGTGAGAGCTCTCAGGAGTGAGGAGGGTCATTACTCATTAGAGTCTGACAGTTGAGAGATGGAGATTGAAATTTGGATTACTTTGGTCAATGTCATTTATGCCCCCTTTTAAATAGTTATTATGTATTGGATATCTGGTTTAATGTAGTTTGGTGGTGTGGTCTGATTAGAGTGTTAACTGTTGATTATGCTTTATCTATGGAAAAAAATAAAATAAAATAATACATAGAACAAAGCTCCATTTTATCTTGTAATTAGAACAAAGCTCCATTATGAAGATAAAAAAATCTATTTCTGTTTTCTAGTTTGAGTTCGTTGCCATAGATAGATTAGAGGCTTCTCAAATCCGAAAAAAGAAAAAAAATACAGACATTTTGGTCAAAGAACTTGTGAGGGATATATCTGCCATTTACAATGCTTTAATTGTGGGGGGACCAAAAATAGGTGTCCGTACTATTGTAATACAGGCTGGAACGCAGCTACTTTTAGCCTGTGAATTTATTTAAATTCTCTAACGAGTGGGCAGCAATCTGGTGCATGTTGCATGGACAGCCTTCTACACCTGTATACGATCTGAACCGTACCTTGTAAATATAAGACTTCAGGTTTGTCACGGTCTACGCGATCGACGGCCCATAATTCAGTTCGTCAAACTGCGGTTTAAGCTGTTCCTAATTGCGAATTAGAAGTAAATAAACTCAGACCGAATATCAAACATTATATTTCAATATATAAAACTCGAAATCAGTGTTCATACACCGAATATCTTTTTTTTTTTTTCTCAAACATTAAATATCTTTAAAGAAAACTCGACATGTACACGACGAATAACCAATGGATAACAATAATCCAGGGGATCTTGTGAACAAGCATCCCTACCACGACCACATAAGTTATGATAAATAAGATGCCAAAATTTGTTAGAAGTGCTACAGTGCACTTGAGCTCATTTTAGTTTTCCAGTTGTATGTACAATTGCAGTATTGTGTGCATGTTAGCATGCAACACGTGTTTCTCTCTTACTGGTTTAGTTCTAGGGTTTACAGGTAGTAGGGCTACCTTAGGTCTCTATAAATAGCATGTTATCCCTTCTTCTTTATCATCAATTTAATACAGAAAGAGTTTATTGAGCAATATGGTTTTTGTTCTTCTGTTCCTCAAATTATGTGCACCAATGATCCTCCAACAGGTCACTCATAACCAAGCTAACCAAACCAAAACAAACAAAAAATGAAAAACTACAGGAGCATAGGATTAGTCATGATCGACAAGCTTCCAAGAATCTAATAAAGACAATAACACAAAAATATCATCTGCAATCATTGCTATATCAGATTCCCAGCCATCCTTCAAATCCATCTTCTTCTTCAACCCTTGATCAACAATAAAGATTTCCACCTTTGTCCAACCTTGTTCCCTGCCTGCTAACAGCCATTGCTTGAAACTCAGAAGCTGCCTCTCCACTGAACACTTGACAGTATTTCTAGAAACTTACCACTTCTTAATCTCTCCAGTGTTGTCCCATGCTGTGGCTGTCATCAGCTCTCTTTGATCAGAAGCTCCATTAGTACTGAGTGCAGAATCTGCATCCCATACTCCTTGGATTCTTCTGGCCTTATGAACCTGGATCTTGCTGATATCTTAATACTCATGCCATTTCATGATTGCTTTTTCCACCACCTGCTTCTCATATATCCATTACATTTGAAACAGCCAACCATTTCTTGTTTTCCACATCCACCACAGGATGTAAGTGGACAAGGAAATTCTATCTTTTTGCCAATTTTATATTACATAACTCTTCCCACCAGTCCTAAAAATTCACCCTCTCCCTTTGCAATCTGTCCCATTCCAACCCAGCTAACTTCCACACTCTCTTAGCTCTTACATAATTAAACATTATATGCTCCAAATCCTCTATTTCCTCTCCACACCAACCACATATGCCATCAACATTCATCCCTCTCCTCTCCAGGTTACACATAGTAATTAAACAATTATGAAAGCATCTCCAGATGAAGATTTTTACCTTTAGGTTTGAGTGGTAGCTTCCATGTGTGTTTCCACATCTTTTTCAACTGGTGACTCCTGGAACTTCCCTCCTCCTGATCCATACACTCTTTTCTCTTCTGTTGAATAGTTTGGTAGGAACTTTTGACTGTAAACTTCCATTCCTTATTGTAATGCCATACCATCGTGTCTGTGATACCCATACTACTGGTTTGTATGTTGAGGATCAATGCAGCATCATGGGGATTGAAAGACTGTTGCACTAGCTCTGTATCCCATTCATGTGTTCCTGCCTTCATTAGGTCTGCCACCTTGCATAGTCTCATTTTTATCTCCTGGAAAAGGGCATGCATGTTTGAAATTGTAATTATTTTGGATCCATGGAGAGTCCTATACACTGAATATCCTACTGGAACAATTTCATAAGCAACCCAAACAACATGGTAACTACAAGAAACGAGAAACTAACAATTGTCTCCCTTAAAAGCCTCTAAGGGAAAAGCAAAAGAACTACAACAAGCATGTTTATCAACATGAAAAGAGAAGCTAGCAAATGATTTAGCTAGAGTGAAAATATCCTTAATAATTGGCAGCAGTACAGCATCTGTTTCTTCCTTCTGATTAAGAACCAGTGCAATGTGAGTAGATTCCACATAGCAGCATATGGATGAGAAGTCCCAGACTTGTGAAGCCTGGTCAACACCCATCTAATAGCTCTAAATCCTTCTTCCTTGATCTTCTCATGGCGTCGGCAACCGTCTTTTGGCTCTTGAATTTTCCAACCACTAGCAAGTGTAAAAGTTCGATATTCATCATTGGCTCGAAACGTTATCTCACCAAGCTCCATGTCAATAAGTGCCCGTCCGGTGGCTAGGAATGGCCTTCCTAAAATCAACGGTGTATCACCGTTATCCTTCATATCTACCACAACAAAATCCGTCGGAAACTTAATTCCATCGACCGTCAACCAAACATCCTCTAAAATTCCCATGGGACGAACTTGGGATTTATCCGCCATCTGAAGAGTGATTCTAGTCGGTTGAAGCTTCTCCAATCTCAGCTTCTCGAAAACAGAGAGTGGCATCAAGTTGACGCCCGCCCCTAAGTCGCATAGCCCTTTCCCGGTATAAAACTCTCCAAATGCACAATCGATATAAAATCCACCGGGATCTTCGCACTTAACGGGATGGTCTCTTTGAAGTATTGCACTACTCTCCTCCTTGAGTGTAACCACCTCATGAGCCTCAACCGGGCTGTAACGCCCCGTTTTATTTTAAAGAATTTATCGAATTTATTTAATAAAAATCAGAGTTTTTTTTTTTTCTAATCCAAGTTTAAACCTTTTTCGAGAAACGGGCGCTACTTACTAACATCAACCAACAACACACATCCAATAATACAAGGGAACTACACATGCACGAGCTAACAATAAAACAAATACCAAAACATAAGTCTCAAATCATTTTAAAAGGGTCTAGCATTATTCAAAGTTCAACCAAATCCTACACATACATAAGTCAACAGTTATAAAAATAAACCAGCTTATTCAAGTCTCAACATTATCCAAAAAGTTTAACATAAATCCATGGTTCATCCAACACAAACATGATTTCAAGCTGAGGCATAAATAATCCAAAATAAAAGCAAGTAGTTCACCATATAATAAAAATAGGCGGAAGCAAAGACACATCAGTTAATGACCACCATCTCGCTCGTCCTACGCCACCGCCTCCAGCTCGTCTCAACCTAAAACAAAGGAAGAGAGAAAACAACAAGAAAATAATGGGGGTGAGCAACCAACTAGCTCACCATTATCGCACAGTTATCCCGCATAATTATTTTAAAAGCAGTAACACAATACTCAGTATGCATAGAATCCAACAGTCTAAACCCCCTACCCGGCCCTATCGCAAACCTCCTATGTACATACAACAACCTTCCGACCAAACATCGGCAAGGCCGTAACTGGAAAATTTCCCCCACCCCGAAACTCACACGGATCATGGGAGTCCACCCCGAACTACTCACGGATCATGGATGTTTTCCAGGAGACAGTGGAGATGTTTTTCCCCCCCGAAACTCACACGGATCAGGGCGTCGCCTCCCGGATACAACGGGCAGGTGACCTCACACAGTTATGCATTCGTCAAAGGCACTACCAATAGGAATACTTAGACTAGGGTTCTCACGCATACATTCATTTTTCAAAAGAAGAATTATACGAAATAAATAGTGCGATAAATATGGAATACAACAAAAGTGTACCCACCTGATAGCAGTTACAGTTCAAACCACAAATCTTGAGACGAGGCGAGGTTCAACACCTCTCGACACCTACATTAAGCCAAGATACTAAAGTCAACACTTTAATCTAGACTTATGTAGCAAATTCACAAGTTGACTTAGCCAAACTCGATTCGACCAAGTGGTTCGTGAAGTTCTGTGGATATGGGAACACTAGGACTTATACTCGATCAAACCACATATTCAAGTTCACAAAAATGCAAGTGAAAGACAAACAAATGAGTCGCATGTAGACACATAGCAAATTCGGTCAACAACACTTAACCGAAAATCACCATATAACAACAATTTCCAAAATTACACTTGAATTAGAAGGTATATCAAACCAACAAGTTAGGCTCTGAAAATTTTACATAAAATTCACCTTTCAGTATTTAGCAAAAACACCAAGTTTCAGCCTCAAACTTATTAGACACAATTTTATAAAATTCAAACAAGTTTTTCGATAAAAACGAGTCTAAATTAGAAACACATGCTAATGAATGATTCAGGCCATGAAATTTTTATCTAAAATATTACAGCAAATAAACAGCAACATATAAAAATACCAAGCTTAAACACTCAGCAAGTGATTTTATAAAATTAAAACAGCATTCAGCCAAGTATTGCATTTATAACAGAACCGGCCTCAAATGAACTCCAAAATTTCTGAAATTTTTACAGCATGCTGAACATATCAATATAAGAACCTCCACAAATTTTCAGAATTTTCCAGCCTCAGAACAATTTATAGCAATTAAAATAAAATCGGGCAGAAACACCAAATAAATCATTAACTCTACCAAACCCAGCTCAAAAATTCTAAAATTTTTATACAGCATATTTTCATGCCTGAGACACAACATAATCGAAAATTAGCCAGAGAAGAACACCACACAAATAATTATACATTTTTTAAGAAACTGAACAAAAATCAAACTAATTTTTAAAAATATCTAAACACCTTTAAAAATCATGAAAATTTTACAGAAGCTACCTATTCAAAATCAACAACTGCTCCTAAACTTTCAAGTAAATCGGACCAGTATTCAATTTATGGTGAATTTTACATTCAAAACAGCCAATACAAACTTCGAAAAATCATAACGGCAAATATACACCTCCAATCGACACAAGGCCAACACCATTGTGTTCGTAACGATCCTAAGTTCCTAAATCCACAGAAAGTCATCACTTATTTTAAGTTCTCGCTCGATTCGCACGAATCGACGAGTTCGGCATAAAAATTACAACTACACAATATATACAACATCACATTAAACATGAATATATCCGAACGCCTCAATCGACATGAGCACACCAACACTCACACAAAATCGAAAGGCACAACAACACAAGGATAATAACGTAAGATAGACGAGGAGTCGAGAATCGATACCGTTCTCGGGAAACGAGCGAGAAGGGTTCGAATCGGGCTCGACGGTGAACTCGTCTCGCGAAAGAGAAGAGCTCGACGTGCGGGAGGAGAGAGTGCGTCGCTGCTGTCGGGTCTCCGCCGGTGTTCCCTGCTCGAACGGAGAGGGAGACGCTGAGATGTTGCTCGATCAGAAAAGGAACTCACGGCGTGGCGGGAGAGGCTGGGATGGCGTCGCAGCGCGGTGGAGGCTCTGGTCGCGGCGCGGTGGAGCTGCTGTGGCGGACCGAGGAGATTTCGACGTCAAAGGCTCGTGGGCTGGCTCGAACTCGCCGGAAAGACGCGCACAGAGGTCGCTGGAGGGTTGCTGCGCGAGATGCTGTCGCCGGAGGTGACTCGCCGGAAGTTGAGCTACTTGCGGCGGCGCGAGGAGGAGCAGGCTCGCGAACAGATTTCTTGCGGTGGCGGCGACGGGCTGAGCGCAGGGATGAGGACGATGAACCAAGCATGAGGTTGACGGGAAAAATAGAAACAATAGGAGAGGATCGATGATGAGGGTGATGGTCGATTACGGGAGTGAGATGCGATCACGAAAAGAAAAAAAATCTGATTTTCTCACTTGATGGCTGCGGGATTATGTTGATCGCAAGGGAGGAGGAGGAGACCAAAATATATGTACGTACTAGGTTTTTAGGGAAAGGAAAATCTGTGGGGCCGGGCCCGAGTAATTGGGCCAAAAAATTTCGTGCCTCTTGGGTTGGGTTTGCGACATTAAATCGGCTCGCGGCCTCGGTTCGCAAAATAAATGGGCTCACGGGCTCGATTACGAATTCAAACGCACGATAAAAATAAACCGAACAATATATATATTTTACATATATATTAATACACATTATTCACATTTAATAATTTAATAAATCACGAAAATCAATTAGACAATTAGACATTTAGCATTTAATCACATTTTGGCAAATAATATTAGGCACTCAAAATTAATATTAATAGCATCACAATGATAATAATAATAATAATAATAATAATAATAATAATAATAATAGCAATAATAATAATAATTAATTCAAATAAATCACAAATAAATGGGGCATTACACGGGCTCTCCATCTTCTCGTCTAAATCAGCCACAACCATCTCGACCATTGGTTCCTTTTCTTCTTGCTCATGCACCTCGTTCACCTCAATCAGGACTTCACCTATCATCTCTTGGTCTTGCTGTCTCTCAATCACCATGGCTAACTGCCCAATTTGCTGCCTAATCGACTTCACTCGATCTTCAATTGAAGCAAGACGTGCGTTATTTGCGCTCAGTAATTGTTGCGTCTGGTTCATAAATGATTCCGTGCTAGTCATGAATGAGGCGAGTGTATCTTCGATTGCCGGCTTCTTTGGCTCATTGATGACCCCATTGGTCACCGAAAATCCCATTGGCGGTTGTAGAGCATTGTATGGATCGGTGTACAAGAAATTAGGATAATTCTGGTTGCCCGAATAGTACGTGTAACCTCTTTGATATCCACAGAAATTGTCGTAATTCCGGTCATGCAAATGATTCACGTTCTGAACGGGTTCATACATCGACACTGCATTCACCCCGACATTCTCGTTCTTCACCCCTTGCATGCCGTTAAGCATCAATGTGGCTATTTGAGC